CAGGCAGGCAGGCAGTCAGGCAAGCAGACAGGCAGACAGGATAGGACTCACAGGACTCACACACACACAAGGAGAGCCCGGAAAAGGACTTTGATTCGATTGGAAATTGCCGCCGACAGTGAGCTAATGTGTGGTAAATAGTCGGTTTATTATTCCCCAGGAGATTGGCCAATTTATTTTGGTCATTGTTTCCCCTGATACAGGGCTAATCGACTTTCTACATTTGTTTTTATTTTTTTTGTTTTTCGTTTGGCATTAATTTCTATTCATTGCCCTGCATAGGGGCATGGGTTAAGGGTCGTGGTTTAGGCTCATAAATACCCTAGATCATGCCCTGGATAATACCCTAGATAATATTATCAAGATAATCATAAAGTTGTTTACCATTCGAGGCTCTGTTAATATTTTTTATAATATTAATGAGTTTTTAATCTATAGACTTTAGTCTATATATGGTATTATTTTAAGTGTAGTACCAGGTATCTTATAGTACTCTTAAAATAAAGGCTTGAAAAAGTTAGGAATATCTTTTAAAAAAGGTCACAGTAGTTGCGAAACTTTCAAACAATGATTATGATAGAATTTTACAATAAAATTGTGAACTATTCTTTAAATATACCAAAATATACCAGCATTTAATGGCAAATAATACTAAAATACTTTTATACTATAAGTACCGCTTATCATATAGTCCAAAAAAATATAAGAGTATTCTCTAAAAGCCTTTATAATACATAGTTTATAAACTACCCACCTATAAAATACCAACATTTTATGGTAAATAATACCCAAATATTTTAATACTAAAAGTATCAGGTATCATATAGCAAAATATACCAAAATAACTACTAGACAAGACTAGAATACTAGACTACCTATTGTTACAACAAAGTTAATAGATTAGTAATCTCCTACAAGAACTAGAATAATATATTCATACTATATAGCCTCTTGAAAAGCCTCTTTTACCTTCTAAAAAATTAAATAAATATTCTCAAGTACCGGGTATCGCATAGTCGAACACCCTCATCCATAACAAAAGCCATTCCCTTTGAGCTTTCACTATTACTCTCCCTGTCCAGGTAAAAAAAGGAGAAACAGAGTAATAGCCTTGTCAGTTTTGTGCATAACATGTTGCTTGTGTTGGCTCTTTTGCATCACAAACTGATTACAATACTTTTCATGGCATACTTACAGGCGCAGTGCCCTGACCACCTCTCCCACCCCCTGCCGACTAAAGCTATATAGTTAGATATATATATATATCCAAGTCCACGTGTCTATGTAAACAACTCACGTGGAGCTTCATTTTGTTGTGTCGTCTGTCCTGGTCCTCTGGTGCCTCTGGTTCCTCATCCTGATATCCTGACCTGGCCCGAAGCTGCTTGCTGGCCACTTTTGTTTGCTAGTCGTAACTTTAGTGCTGTGTCAATTTCAGGCCACGACATTGCGACACTTTTCTTTCCATTCTTTTTTACCCACCAATGGCTTTTCCACAAGCACTTTTCCATTTAATTTTCTACTCCGAGTCTTTTTTCCATATTATTGACTATTTATTTTTCATTTAGTTTATTGCGGATCAAGGTGTTTGTCTTAGGATAGTCTATAGTCTATAGGAACTAATGATTCAATGCCACCTGAGTCGCTGCCTTCATTAAAAACGCATCAATCAAGGGGAAATCAATGCCCAGATTCTGGCCTGTCACAACCACCAGCCATGAAAGTAACCAGACTGGAAATCCAAATGGTAATGGTTATAGTAATGGTAATGGTAATGAGGATAAGGATAAGGATGAGCACACTCAACACTGAACAGACACTGATAGCGATTCGTGGACAAGTTACTGGCAAATCAAGGCTAATTACCAAACATCATCCTGCTGGTTGGAAAACTGAATCATCCCGAATCATTATCGTTCATTATCGTTTACAGACGACGATTACGACGACGACTCAGGCACTCATTAAGCCCTCGATTGAATCGCGTTTCGAGTTCTTGGAGTGCTCCTCCTAATCCCCAGCTAGTGCCATTGGCAATTAAACTTGAGCATTCACTTTACCCCACCCAAGTATCTCAATCCCGGGACTCTTCTTTCAACCAGATTAAATCCACTTCACTGATCGTTGGAGGAGCCTTGTTGGATGAGGATGATTTTCAAGAGTGATTTTCCACGAGTGGCAATTGCGTTGCAAGTTTACTCTCAAAATGTATTCCAACTATGTATACATTTATCCCTTTTCCAAAAATTCTGTTTTAATTCCCCATCTCTTGAGGGCTTTGCTCTGTCATTCGACGCAGATCAAGTATACGCCGCGTAAGCCAGCACCGAAATAACATCGAATTTTTGCATTTGCAAATTTTTTGTAGCTCCCCATCATCTCTCGCACTCCTCTCGTAACTTTTAACTTCAGGGCAACATTCAAACATACATATATGGGGTGAAAATGCAAATTTGTTCCCTAATAACATGCCAACCAGCCATCTGACCGAGAAACTCATACACTGAGAGAAATTTTCTTAAAGAAAATGTATTCTAAAACTAATACTAAGTTAGAGGTCTATTTTTTCAAAATATTTTAAAGTGGTTTTAATTTAAAAGTCTATACTTTCTTAAATAAAATTTTATAAAGCTGTTTTTAGTCTTTTTTTGAAATGTTTGCTTATAATTCCCAACTAGTTTGAAAAATGTAGAGGTTTTAACTTTATTATTTAGTATTTTTAGTACCTAAGATGTTTTCAAACTTTAAAATACGTTAAAGAAGTGGGGTTTCCCTTTAAAATACAAAATAAAGCTTATTATTTTAGTATTTATTTTTGTATGCTTATAATGCTTATAATTCCCAACTAGTTTTGAAAATATAGACCTTCAGAGGTATTATTTAGCCTTCTTAAGTTCCTAAAACGTTCTTAGATTTTAAAATATACCAAAAAGCATAAAACCTAAACCCTATAACCCATATTATTGTAGTATTTATTAATTTTTTTCACACAAACTGCTTATAATTCCCAACTAGTTTGGCAATTTAAAGCCCAGAACTTTACTGTTTAAAGTTCTTAAGTTTAAAACAGTTTTTAAATAAAACAGAAATTTCAAAAAAACTTAAAAACCCACACTCCTACGATTTATTTTAAATTTTAAATAAAAACCTATTTGAGCAGTATATTTTTTCAAGTGTACTAGCATACCTAGACTGCTTTGGCTTGGTTCTGGGCTAGGTTTCAGTTCAGTTTCAGAGTCTCGGACTAGGATGTGGATGTGGATGTGGACATGGTCGACCCAGTTAAGGAAAGCTCCGCCATGGAGCCGCTGTCGAGGTTGTCGCGCTTCGTTTGCTGCATAAATCATGCGCGAAAGGCACAAAGTCCTGCCAGGATGCCGCCGTCACTGGCCAGGCATAAGGGGGGGGGGGATTGGATTCAAAAGGAAAGGCGGCTTAGGAATGGCTCGAATGAATTTGTAAACAGGTGCAAATTAGGTCAATATTTATGTCTGTGTGTGCTGGATGGCTGGGCTGCCCAGAGTGTTGTGTTCCTCCGCCGTGTCCGTGTTTGTTTATGGCGACAGCTGCTACAACGGAGTCGTTATGGCCGCCAGTTGCCTGTTGCTCACGATGCTTACTGTATGTGAACATATATAGTATATGTACATATATACTATATAGACATGCATACATAAACATGAGGCGCCGTCGCCAAAAGGCAACGTCACTGACCCAAAATTCAAATTCCCATGCGGGCCATGCGGCAGGAAGTCAAGTTAAAATTCTTATTTTCTACAAGAAGTACTCATTTTAAGTAAAAGAATGCCCTACAAATAGATTTTAAGATTTTGTTATTTATATTATATTATTTTTAAGATATTAAAATAATTTGAGAAATATTTAAAGGAAATCTCTAACTCTCTTCTACTAGAGTTATCTAATTCCTTCAACATTGTTAGTTTTATTATAAATACTATTTTATAAACGGTTTAAAAAATATATAATATAGTTGTTAGATTTCATTATAAATTTTAATAAATATTTTAGGCCTCATATTCCAATTTAATTCTATTTTTAAGTTCATTCCTCTCATCATTTTAAATCCTTGTCAAAGTTTACAGTCTGAGATAAAAAGAGCTCCTTCTTTGTAGTTCCATCCCCCCCTAAAATATATATATACTCTATATTCCACCCTCTGTCTGACTAAAATCTATTTTATTCTCTTCTTAGAGTGTGTGTGTGTGTGTTGTTTTTTGCTTTTAATGTGTTTGATGCTCTTAAGTCTTTTGATAAAATAAACTGAAAATCGATTTTAATTCAATAAAAATGGAAATGCCGCCCGGCCAAGAGGCAGTGTCAAGGAACTCCTGTTTATATCCTTATAGATGCACAGGGAGAAAAATATAAGCTATATTTAAGAATAAAATAAAGAAATAATAGAATACTTGGGAAATATAAGAAAATTTTGAGAAGAAACAAATAATAAGCTTTATGATCATATTTAAGATCAGTATTAGTAGGAAATTAGTAGGACTGTTTAAGAAATATATAATATAGTTAATGGGTTTAGGTTTAGATTTTTAAGTTAATTTATATTTATTTTTATAGTTAAAGCACTAAATATTTATTATTATTATGATAATCCCTCTTTAAAATCCCATTCCAGAAACTAGTTGGTGGTTAAAACCAAAATCTTTTGAACAAATAATTCTTAAATATATATTTTTTAGGCTATTCAAATAATTTTAATAGTTTACTCTACTTGTTTAAATAATTTCTTTAATTTATTTTAAAGTTAAACCTGCTTTTTAATCAACATATCCATTTAGGGATTTCTAAAATTTATTTTCATCATAATTTCTATTTCTTTTTCTTTTTCAATAAATTATAAAGAATTATGCTTTCTATTCCTAATATTTTGTTGTCTTTGCTTATGTATATTTCATAATTTTAGATATTAAATAAATTTTATAATAGCTTCCTCTATTTTTTTTTTCAGTGCATATTTGTTCACTTACCTCAGACATTTTAGGTTGTTTTTTGTTTCCTTCGAGTTCAATGGAATTCTTCAACTTTTGTTGATGTTTCAGTTGCTTTTTACTTTGTTGTTGTTGTTCTTCCGTAAGAACTATATTATTCTGTTGTTGTTATTGTTGTTGTTGTTGGTATTATTGAATTGGTATTGGTATCAAGTGTTGTTGCAGGTGGTTGTTTGTGGCAATATCTTATAGTCGTGTGTGTCGTGTTTCGCTGCTGAGAGTTGCCTGCCCCAGCGGCCTTAGCCTTGGCCATGGGCCAGTACTCTTGTTGTTATTGTTTTTATTGTTGTTTTTGTTATTATTGTAGGCTGCTGTTGCAACATCCTCCTTGGTTTGCCTCGCGCCCACATGGCGTATGAGTGTTTTTTGTGGCAAGCTAATGACTTGAATCGAGTTCGTTGTTGTTGTTGCTGTTGCTTTTGTTGTTGTTGCTGTTGCATTATGATAGCCTGCAACAAGTGGCAGGACATTTTAATGACAGCAAACTAAAAGCTGCCACTTTCATGGCTGCCTCATATCTGAAAGATAGTTAAAGATTTTTCAATAAAAATATTTAAATATATAATTTAAGTTTTAATTAATCTATAAATCTATAAATACTAATTACAAGTAACTAGTATTTTTTTTTGTGTGTAAATAAGAGAGCTTGTGTTCAAAAGAGAGCGGCAGTTAATCAATCAATAATCGAGCGATCAATCAGTCAAACAATCAGTCAGCACACACCGCGATACCAGTTCCGATCGCCGCCAGTGGTGTCCCCACCAAGGGGGGTAATCGCTCGCCAAAGGGGGGGTGGGGGGAGCTACAGTTGTCGACCTTAGTGACGAGTTCAAGAATCTTTCGGTGATAAATTTCAAGTTTCGTTTCGAGTTTATCGATAATCGTTGGCGGCTATTTGTCTGGCTTTTGGATATATATATTTAATATATATATATGTATTCTATACAGATCAATAAAGAGAGTAAAAGAGAGATAAACAAAAGAGAGAGATGGAGATGTTTGTCGCTGTTTTTTAATTAGCATCTTGTAGATACTTCTTCTTCAGTAAAGTTGACTTTAACTTCTTTAGTTTAATGGGTCTTTATGTTTCTAGGTCCCCTACCCCACCCCTCTTGTATGGCATTACTGCCAACACTTACTATATCCCATATATCAAGTTTTCTGTCACTATTTCGATGAAAATCAACAACAAAACTTAGTTTCCAAGTCAGTTTGGCAAACTTTTGGCTGCGAAACTTTAATAGAAAAATAGAATAAAAATAGTTATAGATATGCATGTATCTGTACTATATCTATATATGAAGCATGTCTAGTAAGCACTAGTAACTAGTTTAATAGATATTCTAGCACTTGGTTTAAGATATATCAGCCCTTTTCAGGCTTATTCTCTTAAAAGTTTCTTTAATTTTTAAAAACAAATTAAAACCAAAACTAAAGTTACTAAAAAACTAAAAGTTATACAAACTCCTCCCCCTTGGAGTGCCCTCCCCTTCTCTAGAGATTATAATCGGGGCACACATAATGCATAATAATGGCTTCAATGATAATGATGATGTGTGGCATGAATCCCGCGTTTTTTTTTCCCCCATTCCCGACTACTTCCGCCACAAGATGCGGGTGGCAGCAGGGGGAGGAGTGGGTGTAAGGTCACCACAGGGGGCAATAATCATATAATGATACAATGATACTCCACAATAATGCCACAAAAGCTCATAAATTGCATTCGGAAAACGATTCCAAAGAATAGTTTGAATTTCAAATAAAAAAAAAAATCTAAACTATTTTTTTTTCTCAGAACTAAACTCTTTAAATAATGGAATTTTTTTAGTCTTTGATGTTTAAACAATTTATGCTTTTTATGTAGCCTGCGATTTTTATGATTTGTTTACACAAACTTTGAATTTAAACCAAAAAAACGGCCAAAAAATAGCGAAAAAAAATCATAAAAAAGAAAAATAAAATACAAGGCAAACTAAAGCATAAAAAATAAACTAAAAAATAGGAAAGTTTAGTTAAAAATTATATCATTAAGTTACCTTTAAACTACAAGCAATAATCAAAAGTCGAATGACTTGAAAAATATTTAAAGAATGCCAGAAATTCCAGGAATTAAATTTTTTTTCTTTAGACTCTGACCATTACGAATTATATTACGATATGGTAGATATATGTATATATATTACAAGTAATCGTGGTATATTCCCCCGATCAGCTATCAACGTCATTTAATGCCAAGTGCCAGGAAATTCAAGACAAGTCGTACATCGAAATTTTAGAAGAACATCGAACACGAGTGCCAAAAAGACAAGTAATACAAAAAATATTAAATACCAACAGAACAGAGCCGAGTCTCTATAAGAAATTATAACAAAAAAATACTTACATTCTAAAATATTAATCATAAAAATCTCAATTAAAAACACTAAGCATTTAGCACCCATAAAAATAAAGATTTTAAAACTAATTGAGTTAAATCTGATATAGCCACGCCCCTAGACTCAAGACACGCCTTCTCCCCGCCTGCCATAAAAACCTTCCATTTCGAAGGTGTTGCCCGTTGGGATAATAATGGTGTTTTCGAAACACAACTCGGGATATCACAAATCAGAGATCGGGGAGAGATCAGCCAGAGGCAGGGGGAGAGAGATCCATTAACAAGTGTAACCACTTCCTTCCTGTCCTGCGATGTGTCATTGCCCAGCATATATGTATGTAGTCCAGATTCCGGAGATTCATCTCTGCCATTGCCAGTCGGGGCATTATCATAATTATTTATTTTAAATCGCTGCCATCCAAAGGAGACCGATTACTTCCTGTTTTTTTTTTTTGTATTCCCCCCTACTCAGATATATATATATATATATGTATATATATTTATGATGCAGCTGCGATCGGAGATGCTGACTCGTCTCGGGTTTCCAGACGCCAGGCACTTGCTTCTCGGTTGTTTGGATTTTTCAGCCGGTTTCCCCTCCCAGGTGAGACCAGTGGAGTAAGCCGACCACTTGGCGGGCTTCCCTTCTGGCCGGCATGGAACCAATGTCAAGACGAGATCTCCCCACGCGATATCTGCCAATACCTATAGTACGCGTATATCATATTTGTACGAGTAGATGTTTACAAGACACAGGCACAGTGGTTTTGAAACAAAAATAATATATTTTATTCCTATTAAAATAAATTCTAATAAAATCTTAGATGGTGACGAAGGCGCCTGTAATGCTTCAAATTTCTTATATAAATATTGGTGACGAAAAAAGCTACTAAAGGTTTTGGTTTGGTTTTATATAAATATTGTATAATTTTTAAGGTTTTGTATAAAAAAGTTCAAATAAATCTAAAGCTTTCATTTATGGCATTATTTTATGAAATTTTAACCAAAGACCCAACTTTTTTTTATGAAAAACTAATAAAATATATGGATTTTGAGATTTCATCATCAAATATATAAGCTTTTTTTAAAAAACTATGTTATTTTAAAGATAGATTTTTAGTCTTGTAATCTTAAACTTTTTAGAGAACCTAGCAGGTTCTACTTCTACTAATTATTTCGTATTTTCGTATTTATTGTAATTTTGTATTTATTTAATTCTAAAAGATTATTCTTTAGAGAACATAAGTATTATATTTCATTAAAGTTTGTTAAATTCTACTTAAGAAACTAAAGTTTAATCTAAAACTTAATTGAAATGCTCTTAGATGGAAATAGACTTTTTGGAAGAAAAATCTGAAATAATACTTGTGACGAAATAATCGCATATTACTTAAAAGAAGAATACTTTGAAAACTGTACCAACAAATTTCTTGGAAAGGCTATGAAAAGCCATTATTGAAATACTTGTGATAATCGCATATTAGTTTATAAAAGAATATTTTTAAAATTACATTTCTTAATAATTTCAATCTATTTTAACGAAACAACTTCGTGGAAAATCTCTTTCTTGGAAAGCAATTATTTTGAGTCACTGTGCCGAGTCTGGGCAGTGTCTGCGTCGTAATTAATTTGTATCAGCAGCTGATTGCTGATTGCTGTGACTGTTGCAGCGGCATTTGTTGCATTTTGTGTGGTACTCGTCACGCCTACGGTCTATGGCTGTCTTGTTGCAACTTTGCAACGTCAACGTAACTGGATTCAGAAAATTCTTTGTCTTCATATCTCTCTTAGTCGCCTAGTCACTTAGTCGCTGTTGGGTGTGATTTACTTTTATGACACATCCAGTTAAGTAAGTAGAACTCAATTCATAGATTGTTTATATGGAATATTTATGGGCGGTCGGGGATTATGTCATTTTGAAAAGCGCAATTGTTTGCTCATTTAAGGCTCCGATATCGGGCATTTGAATGAACCTTGCGCCTGCAGTGCCAAGTGCAACCGAGCTAAAGCAGGAAGCAAGATATACCACCTCTCTATAGGGCCTATAGAGCCCATATATAGACCCCCTTTTTGGTTACCAAAGTTACCAAAGCTGACAATCGCAATTTGTTGTTTGAAGATCGATTTAAAGGCGATACGACAAGACTTTATGATACCAGACACTGTCTGGCGATAAGCACGAGGATTCCCATTCAAGAACTACATATATGGAGTTGCATTCCAATCACTATTAATATTTTTAATATTTAATATATTTCTGCTCTTGATTGATAATCAAATTAGGGTCTTTTTCTGAATAAATAAATTCCACTGATTGCTCTACTTTGTATTCCTATTGTTCTTCTGTTTATTATTTTATTATATAGACATTTTTTTGTGTATTACTTTAATGCCTGTTGCAGTTGCATTTATAGTTCAAGTTTTTGCTTCATTTGTTTGCAAAACGACGTCAGGCGGCCGCATTGTGATTTCGCAATGTGTGCGGCTTTTTGGGCTTTTGCGGCTTGTGCGCCATGATTATGCACAAATTGCTCATTAACATTTGATACGATATGTCTGGATGTGTGCTTGTGGCGTTAGTTTCCAGCAACATCATCGTCATTGTCAGCAGTATACATATAGCTACACTGTGAGTCGCGTTTGGGCTTAGAAGATTATAAATGGGTGGCTATTAAAGGTGGTTATAGGACTTTAAATAGGTGATATATCAATAAAGCCCATTGTAATACATAGAAAA